AGTTTTCGCCACTGACCTCTTCGATGTGCTGCAAATCTCTGACGATCTCTGACAACGGGATGTCGTCTTCATCCAACTCTGAATCATCATCATTTTCCAAGTGGTCATCGACTGGGAAAATGGCGGGCCCCAGGCTTTTTTTCCAACACTTGTTTACCATTGATGACGTCACCTCACTCCAGGCTTCACCGATGACGTAGATCATTTCTTTGAAGTCCAAAGTTTTCAAAAAATCTTGCAAATTTATGACATCCCGGGTAACGATTTCGTAAAGCAGTTTTTTGCAGTAGCGTTTCTTCAGTGCAGAAATAATTCCTGCGTCCATTGGCTGTATTTTACTTGTTGTGTTTTTCGGAAGAAAAACTGTACGAATCTTGCCCTCTTGTGTACAAAGTTTAGTGACATCAGGGTGGGTGGGACAATAGTCAAGAAATAGAATTGCCTTCTGCTCCAAACCACGCCATCACAGAAATGATCGTACCGATGGAGCAAATTCTTCGTGGAACCAATTCTTGAAAAGTTCCGATGTCATTTTTGCTGTGACTGTAACTGAGGGGTAAAGTTTCTCGGTTCACGTGTTTCATGCAGCGTGGGTTCTGGAACTTGCCAATGCACAGGGGGACGCAGTTTGTGTTCCCCTGACGCGTTCGTACCAACAAGAATTGTTACACGGTCTTTATACTGCTTGTATCCTGTCACTCTGTCCTCTTTTTGTTCTGTCGGGTAAACACTTGAAAAAGAGTCCGGTTTCATCGGCATTGTAAATTTGATCTGGACAGTATGCTCCTGACTTGACAATGTCACAAAGTTCTGGAATGAACTTGGCAGCCGCCGTGTCATCGAAGGTTTATCTTCACTGGAAATTTTCAGAGCGCGGACACCATGTCGATTCTTCCACCGATAAAGCCACCCCGTAGAACCAGTAAAATTGGAATCAGAACCATGCATTTCTTTGGATAACGTGATTGATTTTTCCATAATCATGGGGCCGGAAACAGGGATGTTCACTGCCCTTTGTTGTTCAAACCATAAATAAATTGCCTGATCAAGATCGCCGTCATTTGCCGTTCGCATTTTCTTTCGTTTCAGACCTTCCTGCTGACTACAGTTGTGAGCAAAAGCTCGCAACTCCTTTTCCTTTGCTTTGAATGTTGATATGCTACTCTTGGCAACGTCAAAGTCACGTGACAGGTTTGCTGCTTTTTCGCCAAGGCTGAGACGATGATGATACAGAGTTTATCATTAATGGACAGAATTTTTCGTTTGCAGGAGAGTGTAGAAGCCATAATAAAACTGGATAACGCTGGAATTTAAGATTATGATGAGAAACGATGTTCACTGAGTAGAAACTCGAGTAAGAGTGGTTCTCCATGGCAAATGAGCCCTCTTTTAAAACAGAATTCATAGATATGATTGGACCAGCAATAAGCAGAAATCACGATAAAGTATATCAACGAAAAATGCGAAATGGCGCTGATAATGAGGTGTGATAGTCCGCCGCTTTGAAAGCAAACATGTCGATGAAAAGACGTAAACCCTCTATCGCACCGCACCAAAGTGAAAACAGATTGGTGTGAGTATATGCTAAAGGATCGTAAACAAAAGAATAATGATGTAAAAAGAATACTACCATTTATTAAGTGTAGGAGACAGCTGAGTGACGTCCAGATTTGCCGGAGCTGGTACATGTAACCTGTTACCTCATTAATATGCAGGGGACATACAGTATGTTCGTTATATCCAGAAGTTCATTATAAAAGAGTTCGTTATAGCGAGGTTACAGTGTATGCAAGTTAATTGAGCAGATTAATTTAAAACTAATATCAGGACATTCCTAATGAAATGTTTTTCTCGTCCAGTGATGTTGATAGATGGATATTGTAAATCACTTTTGATATAAGATACATAAACAAGCTGATAATAGTTGCATGTAACTAGTATGAAAATTTCTAATAACTGCAGACTATTATCCTTCATTGATTTACCTACACAAACAGCATATATAAATACAGTTGATTCATATGTAAATTAGCTAATTAATATGTATAGAATGTTATAAACTTTTATTAAATATTTGTCTGTACAAGCAGCAAGCATGTACAAAGTTTCAACCTGATATACAAGGACATTCTAGAATCAATTAATTAATAGGCAAATTATTTAATTAAAATGCACAAATCGGTTCAGTCATGAAATTAGACAAACAGTACACTTTACCTTCACAGCTGTTGTAACATCCCAGAATGGTTTCGCTCTGATACCAAATGGTTCTCTAGTTCTGTCTATTCGTCCCTGTTTCATCCATTCATGACGGACTCCAATTATCTCTTTATGAATACATAGCAACCGCCTCTCAAAATCAGTCTTTCCAACAGGCTGACCCTGAGAAATAAAACGAGGCAATAAAAAAACCATACTATTTTGTGTGTGATTTCTTTAAAATTGAAAGGACATGTTCATCTATCCTTCATCTAACCTTCAAATATCTAATGTAGTTATAATGCAAGTGTGAATTGCCTGGTTACAAAGTTATGAATTCAGATTGAGATGGACACGTATTTCAGATGGCCAATCTTCATCATTGTGAGATGCTGAGAGATGCTAAGATAGTTTTCCAGTATTTAATAATATTTGATGTTTATATGCCAAAAGCATATTATGATGTAATACTTGAGCAACTTGATGGATCAAGTCAGCCATCTTGGGTTGACTGGCATCAATCTCCAGTAATGGTTACTTCTACCAAGTTTGTCAAAATTTTAGTGTATGCCGACACTAAAACAGACGATTTTTCGTTCACTGTGCAATTATGCGTAATGAATTATATTTAAAGTGTAATAATTTGATTTTGAACATAATTATTATTGCTCAATGTCAAAATGCCAAAGTTCACCATCAAATGTGTATAGCGCATTATCAAGGTTGAAAATATCCCAGAAATACTTTCATTTAGATGCTCCTACGTGTATGACTCAGTCTATAACCTTTGTTTGTCCTATTTTTAAATCGATTTCAAGTATCTCAAAAATACTTTTGAGTCGAATCTGAAGCGATATCAGATGCTACTGCATGTATGACACTATGTACATTGTTTGTTCTGTTCCTACCATCGATTTCAAATATAACCGAGGATCTTGATCTTGCATCGATGGAAAATAGTCTAATGCATTACACTTGCACAATTGCATGAATGAACAGATAAAAACCAATCTAGGAAGGAGTATGTAATGTGTGAAAAAAAATTCTAATAAAGAGAAATTCATTTTTATTAAATCGGGAGGGTCGTCACCTGCGCATGTGTGGAGTCCCAAGTGACGATAACAACATACGCTGAAACGCAAAAACTCATGAGTAGACACTTGTTTGTAAACAATGACACGCTATGGCCATCTGACGCATGCGCAGGTGACGACTTCCCCGCTTTAACTTAATATGATAGCATGAAGCTAAACACTTTTTACAATAAGAATAATATGACACTAACCTCAAATGTAATGATATCATATATCAAATATCGTGGTACTGATTGTTGATTGACTTTATCAATAATCATTTCCTGCAATAGAGAAATCAGAATTATAGTACATAAGTCAAGATAGATCACGCTGACACTGTAAGTACTGTCAAAAATAAACATAATGAAATGTCATATTCGTGATCATGTGTAGATAATGTGAATTTAAGTTCACTTGCCCCAAAATTTAAAACGTGAGCAAAATTGCAAGGACGTTTTGGTGGGAACAAATAAAATATTCAAAGGGTTAAATACTGAAAGGTTCTGACAATAGCAAATTGTCATCACAGTTTTTATGAAATTGGAATTTGTGATATCACACATTAACAATAATTATTATTTTTTTCAATTCTTACTTGGAAATTGTATTCATTAAATGCCTAGATTTAATTAGCAAAGTTTAGATACATGTATCTGGGAGTCCAATTATTATATTCTAATAACTACATTAGGCTGATACATGTAGATGCAATAATCCAAGAGAAATGTGCAAGGGAGACTATTGTTTTCTTCTACACCATGTAACAGTCTGTGTCATGCACATCTAATAGCAAATCCATCTCATAGTTTTAATATTGCATTTTTTTGGGTGATAGAATCAAATCTAGCTTTCTTGGTGAAAGAAAAACAAGCTACCGTACTACTTCTAAGGTTAGAAAACTAATGCTTACCCCATCCAGTAATGTATTTTTAATATGACCATTCTGTTTTCGCTGTGGAAATACAAGCTGTGGGACGGCAAATACGGCGTTATTTCTGTCAAACATGTAAATTTCACCAGGACCATCTATCAACATCATATACCTAACAAAAAAATCATATTCTGTTAACGTATCACATTCAGTTACAGTTATAATCTGCACCGACCTTATTAGTAAATGCATATACCAACCATTTTTTCTTGTCTAGTTCAAAATAAAATACACTTTGTACATTTGCAAGTGCAAAAACTACATTTCAAATAATCACAAAATGCTAAAATTATCAAAATAGAAGGCACTCTAAAAATGCAAACTTCCACCACAGATGCTCAGTACTTATCCATATAATAACATATACATGTATCTCACAATAGTGAAGTATCCTTCAATAAAAGACAATTGGATCTAGATCTAGATCCCTCCTCAAAGTACTTGTTTGGAGGGCAACCCATGCTAAAATGCCTTTATTTGTAACTTGTAGTTATCCTGCTTATGATGTTCACAAACAATTTAACAAACCCAAAATTTCAGTTAACATAGCAAGCAAATCCAGATCACTCTCAGGATTTAATGTGTTGGTTCTTTTTTCTTCAACACCCTTCTAACAATCATGAAAATTGATCCACAATTATCCAGTTCACAGACACTAAAGTTGACCACCATTAATATTTACTATGTAGGCATTAGTGGAGTGAGTAGAGCACTGTACAGATTAGATGCACTCACCTGACACCATCAGCTTTCCAGCTAACTTTATAAGGCTTGTTGTGTAAGAAATGAATGTTTTGTCGATCCATTGATACAGGCTGACTACCGGGAAAACCATTCCTTTAAGAAATACAAATTTCACTGTCAAACTAATACCAGTGTCAACTTTCCTTAACTTTCATAAAGTATTCATGTTTCTTGTTTGCTCATCCAATCTAAAATAAGGAATACATGTGTCGCATGATATGTATGCGGGAATGCCATCAGTGCAAACATAGACCATATTCGCTATGGTTTATACTGGATATAAAAACATCACCTTGTTTTGTGAACTACCATATTTGTCTTCAGTTAAGCGCCACCTTCAATTAGGTGCCAGTGCCATGAAAATATTGTATTTTACACCCCAATTAAGTGCCAGACAGTGTTGAAATTTTGGCACGTAATAATCGTGAATTGGCCGCCGGCGGATCAACTACTGGACCGGTTAGTAGCGATAGAAGTGATCACGGAAGTCCCTCACAGTTACTGTATGATGGGCTTTTATGCAAATTTTTTTATAATCTCTATGTCTCTTTGGTTTACTGTAGAAATAGAATATATCCGTGTGGTTTTTAATTTAGCGAATTTCGCAGTAAGTCCATAAACACGAAATTAAAACTACGCGAAAATGTTATTATAATTACTACTGAGTAATAATCGCAACTGTGGAATGCAGCATGACTGGATTTCGCTATCGTGATCATTTAGGGTACTACTAAGCGATGCATTTCTGTTGATCGTACGGCAAAATGTGAATGTTTTCTAAAGAATGATAATTTTTGTATAACTTTCCAGACTGTCTGAAAACAGGTCATTTACTTAGTATTTAAAATAAAGGCTTCAGTGACTAAGCGTCAGACTGTAATGTAAAATATTGCCAAGAACGGAGCAAGAACAATGGCTTGATGAAACACAGTTACCGGTACTGGAACTTGAAGTGCTTGAAATAAGCGCCATTTGAAACAAAGTTGCTCAAATTTAACCACAAATAAGCTCCACTACGAAATGAAAGTGTAACCAAGTGGCGCCTAATTGAAGACAAATACGGTATACTGTAACTTATGATGAAATGTCAAAATGGTTACAAACTCAATGAAATAACTATTAGGTACTGTGACAATTCTCCAGGGCCCAGCAGGGGTGTTTGTGGAGGATTCACTGGACAGTTTTTAATGGAGATGTGTGTAACCACTATACCTCACCACTTCATAATTATTACAGGCAAGGTAATAACATCTTTCTATCCATGCATGCCTGATATCTTTTTTCAGAATCATAGAAATACTGGCTTGGCAAGTCAGTCATTTTAAATAAGGTAGCAAGGCAAATGGATGCGAGAAGTTTGAAGGAAAAGTCTAAGCTAACAACATAATGCTCTTGGGATGAATAGGGCTACACAAATTTAAGGATAATTTTTTGGATCAGATTCATAATTGTCAAAAAACAACTCAATATATAAAATGTTACATATATTTTTTGTACATAAAATATAAATCTAATATTAGTAAAATGATGATTATATAGTACACTCAATATAGAAATGCCATTTTAAATAGCACAGGGGCCTATAGAAAGCAAGTGGTGTTGTTAAGTTTTGATATAGTTTGAAAATATTTGAACTATTCATAAAATAGAAAGAAAAGTGATAGATAAATTCATTATGTACCTATTTTATACCAACATCAAATATATTATTGGCTCAACTCACCCTCTCCAGCCACACATGTCCTGGCATTTTCTCTGTAATTGCATTAACTTGGGTTGTGTAGTGAACTGAGTCACTCCTTCAACACCTTCCATAAACATGGCATTCTGAAGAGAAATCAGATCATATTTTAAATACAATACAATACAATCTGCCATATGCAAGTAAAATAATTTTCCAATATTTTGACAATAAATATCACAAGTTTATAGTAGTTGATTTTAAATAATGAAAATAATAGTGTAAAATATGCATTAGCCGAAATGTATGAAGTATGGGCTCTACTATGGTACACTTTATATTGAGAGCTGGGAATATTCTCTGAATTCATTGGGGGCATTGTGAGAGGATTACAGTCCCAGTCCATGTTTGAATATTATGTAAAAAAGTATTTTACTGGTGTTGTACACAGCATGTTCGACCAATATTAATGGTATATTAAGGTTACTAAAATAGAAACTACATCATTATACTGATCACACTCTTGCTTTTGGTTATGACTTGAAAATAAAATTGTTCAACAAAAAATTACAAATGGAAACAGTCCATAGCATCGAGTTCTATGTAATATGCATGCCTGAATCTTGTAGGCATCTTTTCACAAACTAGGATGCAACAAAAATTGTATACCGGTATGTGAGATTGAATGAGCTATTTGTTATTGTGAATACTATACACCTTTGCCTCGGTTAAAAATACCCCAGTAATTGCATCATGTTATGTTCAACAATGGATACATGCACCTTGTGTCAAATACAATGTTTGTATTCAATTGTATGCTGTATGATGACCATGACTCATTCTTTCATTCAAGCTACCTGACTGTGATTCATCCACGGAAGTTCTATCACGCCATCTTCATTGACTTAATTTTAAAATGTGGAAACTCGTATTGATATAATTTACTCTGCTGCAGCAGAAACATTACCGTATTATTTAATTCTCCCCTTCGTCTTTTTCTTTGGCCATCCCGTGTTGATCCATCTTCATTTCCATCATCATCCTGTGTGTCGTCAAACTCTGTGACCAAAACAAAGAAATATTGTTATTATAATCAGTAGGACATCCATCTGTAGGGTATCACTGGATATCACAGTGAAATTCCTTAAAATTAGTTCCTGTCAATGCCCTGCACTTTATGTTGATTCTATATATCAGAATGTAGCCACTACCGTAACACTTGTATGGAACCCTGTCTAGTGTAAAAAGGAAGTTTGTTCCAAACACATAAAATTCTGATTTAGATTGAGAAACTAATTTTTTCTCAAAGCATTACAGCTGAAGTAGTCAATTGAAATATACTGGTATTTTGATTTTACCAAAAGCAATACATTGTATTTGTAGAACCCTAATATTAAAAAAACAGTTCAAAAAAGGGATACTCGTATGTTGCATGCCTCATGTCAACTACACTACTAGAAGGAATTGTACAGAATATTATTACAAAATTGTATTGAAATACTATAATTACCGTTACACCAGTCTGGAAGCTCTGGAGCAGCCGGTGCATCTTCTTTATCGCCATAACGACTGAAAAGTTCCAGAATATAATGTGCTTTATAGATTCCTGGTGGTCTAGCTTGGGTGAAACTTACAACAGCTGCATCAATGCTGAAAATAATTAAATGAATAAAATAAATAAAGTCATGGCATAAAATTACAGAGTCATGAAATGAAATCATTTTTAAGAAAAAACAAATGCATATTAATATGCAAGACATGATGTATAATGGAGTTGTGAAGTTCGATTGAATTATGGCACTGGAACAGCATTCATCAAGATCCTATCATATTAAATGTATACATTTTCATGCATTTTATAACACTAAAATTGGCTGCCATTCAGCCATCTTAAATCGGATCTACAAACAAATACATGTGCAACATGATGTATGTATAAAGTTTGAATGTGATTGCCAAGGCATGTCCAGGGTACAGGTGAATGATGAATGAATAGATGGATGCACGAACGGATGCATGTCAATCCATGAGAACAATCACCAAATATTATCTATTATATTATAGCATTATCAATACCAGTGAATTTTAAGGCATCATTGCTGCAGATTATTCACAATTAATGTGTCCCATTATTGAGGCCCTGTACCATGGATATAAATAGAATGTTGTTTTTGGTAATGAATAAAGTATTCAATTTTAAAATCGGCATCAAATAAAATAGTTCATTGCCAATAACAATGGAGTTTAATATTGCAATAAGACAACTGTGCAAGAACAATTGTAGCATTCCATCTAGTACACGCACTTCTAGATTTTGCGACTGATGCTGCTGTCATGGTGGCCGCCTGACTGGGTTGCCTGATCATGTATTGTCGATGAACTAAGTTTACCCTAGGGTGTTTTTAACCAAGTATATGCGATAAATGAATTTGAAGTGTTTACAAAGCATGAGTACACATAGGTGAATTCGTTCTGCTTTTTGTAGTGAATTGTACTACATTATTTACAAAACAAAATCAACAAAAGACCAATGTGACTTGTATTCTCAGCGATGTTTCAACAGTAAATGTCACATTCTGCACAAACTAATGAAAGTATCCCTGTTCACTGGTGTGTGTTTCATTCATATAATCACATTGAAAATTCTAGTATAGCTTACACACGCAGGCTTTACAACCATGTTCAATCCAAACCCTCACTATACAGCAACAATCTTGGGGAGGTTGTGTATTCAAACTAGTGTAACGCAGTGCCAGGCTGCAGACAGGCATCTGAGATGGCATACCCATGTACTGTTCACCAGTGCAGTCACTACATTGCTATTCAACATCACACATCAGTGACTCAAACACTCATAATGTAGTTTCTTTCGGATTTTGTTTTGTCATACAAGATTGTGAAAATGAATTTCAAGAATGATTAAATTATGCAGATTCAGAGGCAGGTGACTGTGAACTTTTCTCAAAGTTTTCTGCTTTATGGTGGAAGAAAATCCACTGGTATTGACAACTCAAGCACACTTTGTGCTCCATATAGGTATGTCACCCAGAGTTCGCTTTCACCCATTACGGGTTGGCGGGTCATCAATTATTGTTTAATTATACATTATATTTATTGGCCAGGCAGCTTTTTCTTCAATTATTGGGGCAAACAGATAACTTGAAATATGGCAGGCTCTTGTTTTAAGATGAAGTTGATGTAGATATTTACAGAAAATTAGTGTACTAACCTCCAATCTAATTTTTCAACTAAATATGCTGCAATAAGAAATCCACTTCTGTTGAATCCATGTGTGCAATGAACGCCTATAATGTCTAATGGATTTTTAGCTCGATATGATGCACACATTTCAATGAACACTCGGGTCTGATCAGGAGATGGTGCCTCTCCAAACCTGCAAAAATACTCAAATCATTCTACAAAACAAAGTGGGTAGTAAAACATGTAGTCATACATTTATCACATAAGTACTACATTTTATTTTAGGTGAATCACCTTTGAACCTGTTTATGGTTTTTCAAAAACTTTAATTATTTTAACAAATAAAAGGATGTCGATAGAAATTGGCTCAGTAGATTGTTTCACAGTGGAAAATTAGGCAGGCCTTAGGCTTAATTTTAATCCCAAAGTTAGGATGGCCCAACTGCAGTATGAACTACCGGGGGTAGTGCCAGATAATGTTTGCCAGTTTGCGATCATAGTTGTGCAGTCTCAAAACCTTTCCATACATGTATTCGCAAAAAAACTATGGCTGTGGGTGGATTCAATTCAACTGCAAAAAGAAACAAAATCCTGCCATCCATGATTCAAATTAGTTACGATAACTCCAAAACGATTTATGACATTATTGCAATGATGCCAACTACGTCAATAACAAGATTTGCTAGGTAAGTACAGAAAATCCCTGACATGCCACAAAATACAAAACGATAATTCTTACCCTCTGCACTGTAACTTAACATGTTTCATGCCTTTACTCTCAACTATAGATTTATCATAAAATCTGGTTGTGTTTGTTAAATCAATTAACAGTCCCATTTTCAATTTCATAGAACTTAAGTATAAAAATAACATATCAAGACCAAATCTGTTCTCTTCAGGTATCTGGTCATCATATCTTGAGCTGAGTGGTGTTTTGAATGGAAGAAAAGTTCCTGTGAGGAGAAGTAGAAGAAGAAATTACACTATTCATACACACACATGTATGTGACGTCTCATGAGCCGACATTAATTCATAACAAGAACACTACTGATAAAGTAAGACATAGTGCCTGGTTTATCTCTTACATCAAGAATTTGCACATTGATCATAGGGTTTTTTTTCCAAATTCAAATGAAAAAAATCCAATTTTCATAATTAATTCAATTTGGGGAAGATAATTAATCAGAAACCAGTGCAAGCGAAGCCATTAACTTAATTTCAGTTCAAATCAATTACTCTCAGTGTAACAAAGGCATTTCCTTTGCTTTTATATTATATTTATAAATTTCACAATTCAAACTGAAACTGGGGTTCTACTGGCCAATTGAATAACAAGTAAATGCTTTCGTACAGCATCATTGATTGGCTGGTTGGATTCAACTGCAATTGAAATTTATAAATACCGATATTTATAAAAAAAGGGAATTTCTTTGTTGTGCCGAGAGTACAACAAACCTATTCCCTTCATCTTTATAAATATTTATCAGGATGAACGGAATGGTTCTTTTGCGTCGAGAGTAGAACTGAAGTTACAGTTACAGCTACAGTCCTTGCAATATGCTGTGTTTTATATGAAACCCATAACAACGTATACATGTACAATGTTTATAAAATGCATTGTTTGTTTGCACAAAATCTGAACATGCACTGCACAACTTCAATCCAGCTAATTTAATTATTAGAATGTAATTTAGTTACAGTTTATTTAAACTGTACCTAAAATAGCTTAAATCGTGCAATACTGTTTTTTATTAAATTAAGTATTTTTCCAATTCTGTATTTCATAGACAACAGAGTTTATTCATTTGCCATTAATTTATATTTATTATGTAAAATTACTAGCAGATAGAATTCTTGAAATAAGAACAAACCTGCCACGACTTGGCCTTTTCTTGGACAGTTCAGCCACCGAGGTGGTATTGACATTGTGTATACTGCAGTACAGTATCTAGAAAACAAAGACTTTATTTCGTTCTTTAGGAAACAGTTATCTTAGCACAAGACTGGACTTTCTTAAAATCTTCTGGTCAGACTTGATTTCAAATTTCCTGGAAAATGCTTACTCGAACAAATACTTCGCGAACAACAGTAATGCATTGTATCGGAAATCCCCGCTCAAATCTGTCGTGCGATATTGTTCTTACATGCGCTTGTAGTAGAATGCTTCGATTTTCATCTATTTTGACACACAAACTGCCACTGAGTATCCAGTTCCATTTTGTGAATTAAAAATCAGAACAATGTAGTCAACATACAGTAGAACTTCAATGCATTTCAATATTACCTTGCTGTTTCTAAAAAAAGAACAACTTCCGGTTGTCACTGGTGTACATACTTTGTAACGTCATATATTATGTTCACTGAAATCGATGACGTACCAAACACGTTTGTACTTGTCCGTATTTGAAACCAGACCACTTAGCCTTGTGCAAATTCATAATTTTGAGTATAAACTCCTTGAACACATTGCTCTTTTTTTAATGTGATTAAGCATAGAAGTTACAATATTGTTAGAGAAATGGTTTTTGAAAACAAATTTGTGAATACAGGCTGTAACTATTCAAAAATTAACTGTAGTTAGCATCGAAAGTAGGTTTCGTTTTGATGATTTTTCTGTATGCCTATGAGGGCGCTCAAATCTCAGGTTTTGAACCATCAACATGGCGGGTGACGGAAAGGTGAGTCGACTTCAAAATACATGCGAGTGACAAATTAATGATTGAGGTTACAGTTGTCATGGGAATATTGGTGAGCATAGCTGCGATGTGGATATTTGATTTGGGTGTTAGTTATGCTTGTAGACCAAATTTAAACGTCGTTCACTTTCTACTCAAACGCGAGAAATTTTCACATGTAAAACGCTGCAAGCACTTTTTTAATCGCCTTTTTAGTTATATGCACTGCATTACCTGTCTTCATTTGCTGTGACCGATTGCATATAAATGTCAAACAGACAGAACTATAGCAGTTGACCAGGCTATTCAGTAACGTGGGTTTGTCGGCGGTACCTTCCTCGCCTTTGACCTTTCGTGACCTTGTTGACACTTGACGCTGCGTGGGATAATAGGTATCGCGTGGAATTCAAAACAAATCCAATTCAAAACAAATAAAAACAATTGTGTAAAATGCCGTTATTTAGTATTTACTCTGTGGAGACATTCTGGATGAGAATATATGTGGTGATTATGTTGCTATGGATATCATCATTTTAATGCAAAGAATAGTTTACATCAATTGTTGGTCACTACAGGGAGCTGTAAGTCTCATCCCTGGTCACTCCTAAAATATCATATTCCTACATGCACTATAATTTTTTTCTGTAAAGTTGTCTATGGTTGAAAAGAGTTCAATATTCAATGATTATTGCACACTTATTTCTTTTCATGATGATTCAATGTAACAAAAACAATGCAGTCATTTCTCTTCTCCATATGCAATGTGTGTAAAATACTTTATTTTAGCTGGAATTAATTTTCGCTGAAAAGATTTTTTGGGTATTTTGTATGGAATTTATTTTCACTGATTTTTGATGAGTTGAATGTAAAATATAGGAAAAAGGTATATTCGCTGGATTTTATAGCGAAAATTAATTCCAAGTGGAAATAAAGTATTTTACAGTACATTGTTTTATGCAACTGCATCACAGTCCCTCTATGCAAACGCAGGCTGTGCAATAATTGGTACTAGATTGACATCACAGCGTTTTGCAACTAACCTGCCTACTCACTTTAATGTTGTTTGGGTATTCGTAGTGTTTTGGGTTGTAGTACATACAACAGTTACCAGTGGTCTCCCAGGTGGCTCAGCCTTGCCAGTGATTTGAATATCACCTTTGACATTTCCACCATTTGTTGTCAAAGAGGCAGACCACTGATCTCATCATTAGTAGTTAATTGTGTGTTTTAGATTAGTAATAAATCCCACTACTGTACCCAAACACCGTCTCTGTGTGAGTGCTTTTGTGCTGTCCTCCCTCCTTAGCAAACCCAGATTTAATTCTCCAATATTAAATTTCAAGTAATTTGAATCCATTCGATGAATTAATATTCTTTTTCTTTATTACAGGAAGCTATTGTAATATGTCTTGATGTTGGTCCATCCATGAACCAGGCACCAGATGGACAAGAAACTTGTCTGGAAACATCTATCAAAGCAATATCTAGAATCCTACAGAGGAAGGTTTGTATTGGAACAGTAAAAAGTTTTTTCTATTGTTTTTCACAAGGCATTGAAATTTGATAAAAGTGGCAGGGTTTAAAATCGGTGTTTGGCTCGGGCAATCATTTTTGTTATGGGACAACCAAATTTTGAAACTAGTTGCCCAACAATTTTTTTTTTATTAATCATTTATATTATACGCAATGACTACTTTGAAACTAAAAAAAAATATATACAAGAACAAAATAACACATAAACTACCTTTGCAGCTAGTGCGTCTGTATGTATGTGTTTGTGTATGTTTCACTGATATCTAAAGAACCACTTATAGGATTTCAATGAAACTGATGCTGATGTGCATATTTGATTACCTAATTTGCATGATATTATTTACATGATATTATTTACCTAATTTGCATGATAATTCATCAATTTAGCTGTTTGATGACTGTTCCATTGATATCTAAAAAACATACCATACTCATCTGACTTGGCACCCAGGGTACTCAGCTCAAAAAATTGTGACATTTTTTGTTCACCATGTGCCAGATTAGGGTGAACAGTACATCTTTTTTATTAGTGAAATAAAAATTGTGAAATGAGTTGCATCGTTATTGATTTTCACGACACATTCACAATAAAGAGACAGAAATGATCACATTTTATTTCATTATTTACATACCATCAGAATGTAAGGTATAAAATTGATAGGGTCTGTGGGGAAACGATCATTATCTTCCTGGGGCAGCTCTTGGGTAATTCATAGACCTGATCAGTTTAATGTTGAAAAAACATGTATATTGATTTTCTAAATATTATTTTCTAATTTTTGACATCTCAAAAAATCAGATTTAAATTGAACATGCGGTAGAATAGTCAGGCAAGTTGGCATAGGTGGTGCCCCGACTGCTGCGATCGCAACAGTCCAGGGCGCCATCTACCCCAACTTGTCAGGATAGAGGTAGAGGTTCTCTGGAATAAACTAGAGTGAGAACCATAGATGTAGAATGAAATTTATTTTCTATACATATTATAATCTTCAATAATGTGGATCACATTGTTTCCATGTTGTGTAGCTTCTTGTTTGAAAGGTTAATCTTACATTTTTAATTAATTTTCAATATGTCTCAGCACACAGTTCTTTCTAAGTTTTCTTGAATAAAAAAATACTTTATTCGTATTTATTGTAGTTTTGATGCATTAAAAAGTGCAGTCAGGATTATACATAATTCATAAATTTCCATTAATTAGTGGTAGTAAAAGTAATTGTTTTCCAGTGCGTGAACTAATAATAGAATAATTAATCCAAATTATTCTTTCATGTGCACAGAGTACTTTTTGATGGAATAAATATTGATTAATTTTTTCTGGATAAAGTACACGCATAGGGATTGGTGGGGCAGCTTTGTACACAGTACTCAATCATGCCCAAAAATAATTATGCGACTACAAATTGATGCCAAAGATGAATATTCAGAAAACCAGTTATTTCAACAACAAAATTACAAATTTATCTTTTGAAAATAAATTGGTTGTGCAAATTAATAGAGACCGTTGATTGATTGACTTTTTACGGTTGTCAGCCGGGATAATGATGGCGGTGCTGATGAGAACCCAGCATGCTTTCCAGCATGCTTTGCACTGTCATATTCATTCAGATTCTTTCTCTAACTACATTTCTAAAAAACATTTCTGTTTTCTAGGTATTTGCTGATTCCAAAGACGAAGTAGGATTGGTATTATTTGGTACGTCAGAGACTGCTAACGACCTAGCCGAGGGTGAAGAATACCAGAATATAACAGTAGCTAAACCGTTGGGACTTGCTACCATCAGTTTATTAGAATATGTTGTCAAAGATATACAACCCAGCAATATATCCGCAGATTGTATCCTTAAAACATGTTGTTTGAACTTTTGTTCACCCCTGTTTTTAAATTCTTCCATCCAATTGTAATTTATTTTCATGATTCAGACTGTGTTAATGTTTCTACTGGAATTTATTTTTGCTGAAAGGACTTTTGTGTGTTCTGTATGGAATTTATTTTCACTGATTTTAGACAAGTTGAAGGTAAAATATAGGAAAAAAGTATATTCGCAGGATTTTATTTTCACTGAATCATTCCTTCAGCGAAAATAGCGAAAATTAATTCCAAGTGAAAATAAAGTATTTTTAAAATGGGTATATTACTCCCAGACTTACAGCGTTTTGATGACGTGAACGTTTATCTGGGTTGTCTTGGTAGTTAAATCAAACAACATAATAAATATCAAGGTCAAGTGCATCTGGTGATCTGTTTCAGTGGTAACCAACTTCTTAGCATCTCAAAAACTCGGCACATAAATATCTTCATTTAAATATTATGCCTGCACTTGGGTTATTCTGATTTGCTCATGAACTTTATTTCTATAATTGTGGTGACCTTGACTATGTACTCAGTTGTTGATGCTTTGGTTGTATCAATGGATTTAATGGAAAAGTCGATTCGGGGTAAGAAATTTGGTTCAAATCGAATCGTTGTCTTCTCTAATCTTGGTGGTGAGTTCACTGATGACAAACTTGATGCTATTATAAATGGTCTGAAGTCACTGGAAACTGAAATTAATCTCATGTAAGTATAGCTAAATAACTATTTACCACACTTTTATTGTCTGGGTAAGTCATCTAATCCACCATTTTGTTCAACCTAGTTCATATCTAGTCATGTTATAATCACTAAAATAGTCCAAATAACTATTTACCACACTTTTATTGTCTGAGTAAGTCATCAAATCCACCATTTTGTTCATGTTCATATCTCGTCATGTTATAATCACTAAAATAGTCCAAATAACTATTTACCACACTTCAAGACTTGCATTGTCTGAGTAAGTCGTTGAATGTACCATTTTGTTTATTCTAGTTCATATCTAGTCATTTTATAATCACTAATTTAAAAATAGTCAAAATATCTATTTACCACGCATTGTCTGAGTACCGGTAAGTCACCAAATTCACCATTTTGTTCATACTTGCTGGTTGGATTACAATTAATTTAGTTGGTAAAAAATTAAACAAGAACACTGGCAATTATATACTAGTATTGTTCGCAATACCAATGTTTTGTTGGACACTAATTCAAAACATTTATTGAGACAGTATTACCATTAACTTATAAAATGTTCTTGTCATAACTCATCAGCTCGAATGAACAGCTATAGTAGTAAATTATGTCACAAACATCTGTGAATAACTTTGAGTTGAATAACTTTTTTCATATTTTATTTGCCGAAACACATCTCCCAAAAATCAAATTATTTTTATTTATTCTGGTTTTCACACATCACATGAAAAATAGGGGTCTGTGAATACTTTACTGGAACTGTTTTTGAGGATAACTAGAAGTTGATTAGTGGTTTTGTTTTTGTGTTTTGTGCTCAGTAATTTACAGTGATCCGGTGCAATATTTGGGTATGTACAAAAACAGATTCATAGATACATATCACATGTGATATGGTTTATTATTCTTTTTTCATCAGTGGTCCTGACATGGACGGCAATGATAATGATAATGATGGTGGTGCTGATGAGAACCATGCTGGTGGAGCCTCCAATATGCCAAGTAGAAAAGAGAAAACTCCGCAACAGAGAGCTGGAGAAGCTTTAATGTCCCATATTCTTGAAGCAACTGATGGATCCTGTTATTCATTCAGGTAAAACCATGTAAACAAGCCATGCATGGCACAGTACCCGTTAGTTATCGAATTTAAGATATATAGTTTTGTTTATAGTAATATAGTTGTCATAATATACACATGTCAGGAATATGATTATGATTTTTTAACATTAAAATAATTTACATCTTGTATCTTAACAGCATTAATTAAAACGAAATCGGCCATTTTGAGTACATCTATAACATAATGTATAGTGATTATATAAAATAAAGAAGCGTATTCATTAAAACAAAATGGCCACCAATCAACCATTTTAAATCTAATCTGAAAAATAAAATAACGTGCATCAGGAACTCATGATGTCGAATGTATGTACCAAGTTTGAACAAAATCCATCTATAAATGCCAGAAATGCTTGATATTTGATGATATTTTATCACAAAAATGGCCGCCATTTGGGCATTTTGAATCAGAACGTGATTGCATATGTATTACATTATGTATGATGTATGTGTGAAGTTATTGTTATCTTTAATTATATAATAATATTGCTGCTAACAAAAATACATTTATTCACAAAAAAATGATTCAGCAATCTTCCAAAATTATTTATTCATGATCTAATTAAGGAAGAATTATGTTACGCAATTTTTCATTCTTGTATGGAATTCAGAGAACAAATATTTGAAAAATCATTAGTTGCACTTTTTTGAAAAAATTACTTTTTGAGTACAAACAAATGTGAACACATACTGTAAAACCATTTTATTATTACTGACATTTAATTTCATTATTTTTTAAGTTATTTACTTACCATACTCGACCGCGTTAGCGCCCAAGGGCCTCAACTTGGAAAATCATGATTTTTTAGGGGTGCGCACTTACCTGGCACCCCCCTCGAAAAAGAGTGCAAATGAAAATTTTGATTCATCATGTGACAAATTACGTCAATGAGGGAAAATCAAATTACGAAATTAGTTGCGTCGTCATTTTCACAATGAAGAAACAGAAATGATCACAAAAAATATGCACATTTTATTACAATATTAATTATGTACCACCAGAATTTACGAAATTAAAAACATTAGAGTCTGTTGGAACACAGTCTTCATCAAAATTCTCATCATTATTTCCACTGACGAAGGTGTTGGATCGTACGCAAACTCTTGAAGAAAATCACTTTCCGCCATGATGCATTTGCAGATTTGGCCTGCAGCAGCGTCCTTTGACCTAATGGGTCAAGTTGGTTATTAACCAATCAGAATGCTGTATTGTACTGACGCAATTCTTTGGAAATTCCCGAAGACTTTCCGGTAACGCAATGCAGAAGTGAATTATTGATGTCAAAGTACGATCTGTTAGAATTGATTTCAGTGAATAAACTTGGTTTTTCCAAAAAACTAGTAACTAGCCATTTTTGAGAGGTAAAGTGAATATGGCATGAAATATTTACCGCATTTTACTTGTATTAACAGGTCATTGTTGAAGCGTAGTTTACACTCTGTTACCGTGGTCTACGCATTCACAACATATTCACATATGTGACCCCAAATATAAAAATTGCGCAAAAGTGGGGGGGGGGGGCGCTTGCTTGGGCATGGGCACTAACGCGGTCGAGTACGGTATTAGCGAAAACAAGTAATGCATTACAGTATGGGCAAACATATTGTAATGTACAATATATGCGTATAAAACTTTCTGGCTATTTGCATCCTGTTATGGCAATTATGTGATTTACAGGGCTAGAAGTTGAGAGGGCATCCATTTTCAATATTTATAAAATGGCCATATCATCCATGCATAGGAATAATATAAAGAGTATCAAAAAGTAACCAAGGCAAACTCGTTGGGCGTCAAAGCTACATGTGTGCCTCGGTGAAGCTCCTTAAAATTTGTTATAGAAGCCACATAAAAATTTAGAACCAAAAATACACTAATGCTCATGTTTGTTGTCTTGTATCATTTCAATATAATTTGGGTCTTGAAAAATGAAGCAATTGGCAAATAAGTATACAGCTCATGTCCCATTCAATGATGTGGTTACTAATTTTTCTGAAACCAGTGCAAATTGCATAGACTTCAGATTGTATGCAAATTAGAATTCATTACAACCAATCAGAATATTCAGAGCAAACATGTGACCAAAAAGCAACACTTCTGAAAGGCTGAAAATCTAAATTTTTATATTAAAATTAAAAATATTTTTGCTATTTTGCATAATTATTGTGTTTAACACATGTGTTAACAGTTTGGCCATGTGTTAAGGAAATAATAAACATTTTAGTTTGTTAATAATTTTAAGTAGACTACTGTGGAATACTTGAATTTATTTTCGCTATTTTCGCTGAAGGGATGATTCCGTGAAAATAAAATCCAGCGATAGACTTTTTTTCCTATATTTCACATTCAACTCGCCAAAAATCAGTGAAAATATATTCCACAAAGAACGCCAAAAAAACCTTTTCAGCGAAAATTATTTCCAGCGAAAATAAAGTATTCGACAGTAGTTGAATTGTTATTTGTTGCTTTCCAGTGAAGCATTACCTGCACTGGCCTTCTTTCAAGCAAGAACAACAAAACAAGTGACATGGAAGTGTAAACTGGAAATTGGTGATGATTTAAAAATACCAGCATGTGGATATTACAAGGTAATTATCATATGTGGACATGAAATACTGGGTTCGTATACAGTCTGGAATTCCAGAAATGTACCGGAATTTCAAAAATCACATTTCCATGCATTGAAAAAACTTGGAATTTGGCTTTTAAAAATATCCTAGAAACCACAACCACTTTCTTAAATTTTATAAAAAACACTTTTTTTTTACTGTATATTTATTGAAATCATACGAGTGATCGTCCGTCATCAACTTGTTACTTTTTCGACTTTTCCTTGAAAAATTACAAGCCTGATTGCTTTGATACTTGGTGTATATGTAAATTGGGTAAACTTCTTTTAGATTTGTTCATATTATAGTATATATATAATTCTCTAATTTGGTGAATATTTTTGTCATTTTTGGTAAAAACTGATATTTTTGAGTTGTTGAAAAATGCAAGAATTCTTGCATTGTTAGTTATAGGGCATTCAACAGTATATCATACTTCTAGTGTTGTGTGTTTTTTTTGCACAAGATCTGTGGCTCCTTGTCTCGCAGACGACTCAAAGTTTGAATACTTTGTTGAATATTTTTTGTTGGTACTTTCCAGTAAAGCTCATGAAGAAAAAACTAAAATCTTTTTATTTCAAAATATTTATCTTTACATTAACTAGGTAAAAGAAGGTAAAATGCCTCGTGGATGGGGAAGTACTTACATGAAAACAGCCGGCAAGGAATTTTCCATAAAATATGCACGGTCCTATCATTTAAATAACGATGAAGAAACTGAGATTGATCAAGAAGATCTTGTTAAAGGTGGTGATTTTTTTTTTCAGATAAGATTTCTAAGTCTGATTTAATATTAAAACAGGTACCGAAACAAACTGATCATGAAAACTGCTATCTCCTTATCGATTTTCTTTGGAATATTCTTAGCCGTGTATTTAATTCAGAAAAATCTGGGACGGCTTATATTGCAGGGTTTCCCTGGGATCAAAACATGTTAATTTCAACAAGAAACAATGTCTCAAGTTAGTGGTGCAGCTTCTATTAGATCTGCAGCCTCAATTATGATTTTTACGGTAGTATTTCTAGTATTAGTAGTAGTATGCTATCATCAAGACTGACTCATATCTGAATGTGTTCTTGTGGGCAAGGTTTCCATAAATTAACTATGTTATTATCTTTTTATGTCAGGATATCGCTATGGTAGTGATATTATACCAATGTCAAAAGAAGATTTGGACAATATGGCGTATAAACCTGGAAATAAATGTTTCAAAGTACTTGGATTTACAAAACTTGAAAATGTGAGTACAGTGGTATTTGTGTATCTTTTACTGTGTTTTATGGGTATTATGTTCTTGTACTCAATTTTGTTTCTAAAAACTTTTTGGTAATGTATAATTGATTGCAATGAAATAACTGTTTGTTTTAACCCCTTGACGCCATTGTCAACTTTGGGCACCATCTACAAAATTATTTATACAGTCTGCTTCTCTCCACATGAAATCTTTTGATCAAAAACTAAAAGCAATATATGAAATTGTCTGTATGATTCAAAAAGATGATGAAATTTAAAGAAAAGTTTTATAAAATGTGAAAATATTTGCACTAAATTTTGGGTGGACAAAATATCTGGTACTCACAGTGTTAAAAGCCCCATGTATGGACTATGTTATTTTACAGTATGTACTAATTTTGTTTTTTAGCTGCACTGTCGACTTTGTTGAGTGGAGCTTATATGAGTGATTGTTCGTCGGCGTTCAAGTCAACTTTTTACTTGTTAGACTTCTTCTTGAAAACTAAAAGCTTATTGCTTTGATACTTAGTGTATATATACCTTGGGCAGACCTCTCTTTGATTTGTTCATTTCGTGATGCTATCCTTAATCCTCTAATTTTGAAAAATATTTTTGTAATTTTTAGTAAAATGTGATATTTCCGACTTCTTGTTACAATCGTTTTCACTAAACATTGGACAATCAGATTGTGGTAAATGTTGATACATCAGAGCAAGTACCTAATGAAATTGCCACTGATTTTATCACTACTAATCAAAACATTATAACTGTAGCCTAAACATTTTTAATACAAATATGTATACCTGTCTGAGTCCAAGGCGCCATTCTCTCTTTTATTGTTTGCGCAAGACATTTGGGTTTTTAGCGTGAACAGTGTGAATTCTGACCAGCATTGCT